TAATTTTAAAATTAAAAAATAATTTAAAACAAACATGATATATATTGTTAAGTACTCCCAATGTATGAAAATAAATGATTAGCGCTTACATTTAGAATTATTCTTCATGAATACAGACTTTTATGCTCACAATGATATTTGTAAATGATCTTTATATGTACCACTGACCAAATTATTTATGGATATGAAAACAGGTGAGATTTAACTCTTTGTAAATAACTTATATATCAGTGATATAAAAGAAAATTTCATTTACTCTGTTATAGACATCCAAACATTGTTTAATCATTGTCTATATGCATAAATGTCTGTAAATATGTTCTAATATGTACATATTGTAAAAATAATGTGTTCTTAAGAGGTATGTGGAATGTATTTAATATTTTTTCCATCATTTAAAGTCTTGAATAGTTTTGATTTGTACAAAAATATAATTGTAAACATGGAAACCTGTATTCAGGAAGAATAATGCTAAATATACATTCTACAATTCACTTTCATACATTTAGGATTTTAAAAGATTTCTATGAATATCAGTCCAATACATATTTTATAGAAAATATTTTATAGCTATATTACTTACATACAAAATTAACCACAGCAAAATCAATTTACTGCAAAATATGATTTTGACAATAAGCAGATGACTTGTCTCATTCATTTTTACACTATTAAAATCAGAGCCACAAAAAGTTGTATGATAAAATATATTTTATGTATTAGCATCCTTTTAATGCACCCATACATTATTAACTGACAAAAAAACCCTCTTGTGAATTGTTAGTCTACTAACTATATTTTAACAACATTCTAACTGAAAAATGCATGCATTCATCGAAGTATTTTAATATTACTTTTGAAACACTGTAGAAATATGGTTGAACAATTCTGAGTATTATTCCAAAACAGAAAATATATGGAAGTCAGATAGTCAATGTGTAAGTTAATGTTCAGTATAATGACTTTCCCTCATATTACTGCCTGCAGCAATATTTTTGAAATGCTGAAAGTTAATCAATAGTTATATTCCAGGAATTGCATGACAACACTGTACTGTATCAGTGTCAATATTGGTACATTGCTAGAAAAAAGGGTGCAGCTATTCAAAACTTTGTACTTAATCATTTTCTTGTAAAATTAAACCCAAGATAACGGGCAAATTTTTTAGTTCTGTTTTTAAATTTTATTTTAAAAGTGGGTAAAAACATGGACACCTTTATGCCCACAGTTCCATTAAAAAAAATGGCATACTAGAGTAAATTTGTTTTTAAAATGGATCACCTTTTTCAAGGGTCAAAATGATGATCTTTGGTTTTCAGGCTTACAGTTATTTGCCTTCAGGTACACATTTATAAGCACATTCATTTCTACAGATAAAACTTTGACCTTACCACATACTGAAAAACTCATAGATTTACTATCATTGCTGTGTAATTTTATTTTCAAAATAGTATTCCTCATTCAGAAAGTACTCATGCTTTCACTGGATTCACTTCTCAAATACAAATATGAGGTAATCAAAAGCCCAGGGCAACTTCAGTCTGTTCAAACTCATTTTTCCCTCTGCTTGGAGAAATATGTCTGAAATGTAAAAATAATAGGGAACTATGTAGCAGAAAAGAAAAATCACTGCCAGTCATCATACAAATAAGTATTACTCTCCATGTCATTCAATCTGCTGAAAATCAAGAGAAATTTTAAGCAAGAAGACATGACGACAATACAATGAAGTCCAGAAGTTTGCACCCAAGCATTAATCACTTATTTTAATCATTATATTAATCTCATAATACAATAATTTATATTATTTTATACATACATAAGCACATTATTCCACATTTATCATTCTGTGTTGCCACAATTGGCTACATCTTTATCCTAATGCTTTACAGCAGGTACACTATTTTTTTATCCAGACTGAAGATAGCACTTGGCCTTTGAGAGGCATGCTAGGGTGCAAAAAGTGGAGGGCAGGACAGGACAAAAACTAAATTTCCTTCCCTTTCCATTTAATAAAAATTAAATATAGTTAATATGATTATTCTCCAGGCATGATTTAATGACATCTTACCTCAGTTGCATTGAAATTAAAATTTAGTAACAACTTTTGGAAGCTTCTGGGCACTTCATTGAAGATTTAATAGGGCTGCATTTGGCCGTCAGCCTCTGCCGTACAATTACTTCAGCTTCACAATTATTATTAAAAAGTAAAGCCAGTCCTTAAGTTACTTCCTATTTTTCAGTAATATCATATTAAAAAATAATGCTACTGTGCAAGAATGTGAAAATGAAAATCTTCATAATACAGTTCTGCATAATTATTCTTTTCAGGGGGGTTTTTTCCCCAAAAAAGTTTTCTGGAAGGGGGACCAGCTCTGAAACTATTGTTGAATTGTACTTAGCCAGTATTTTAAATGGGCTTTTCATTTTTTTATACATATACAAAACTTTACTCAGAACATCTGGAATTTTATGAAGATTAATGCTGACAATGTGAAAGTCCAAAGCATATGAACAGTTCATTGCTTGCGTAAATAAAAGCTGTTTTTACCCTTTTTTCCCTGAGGGGAGTGAAAACATTAGCTATTTTTAAAAATAAAATATTCTTCTTGCTGTTTGTGAGCTAACCAGATACTTCATGTGTATAATAAACATCTGTGCTCATGACTTGAGCAACTGCTGGCAATTTCCTTGTTTTCAGCTGTGGAAGACTTGTATCTCAAAGATAAATTCATACATGAAATAAGCAAAGAAGCAATATACATACTGATATGCTACGGTCCATTTGAGCTCCAAAAAATCTTTAGCTGAGGGAAAAGGATGTTGTCCAGCTAATCTTATTATTTAGTCTTCATCTTACAATCCGAACACCACTGATCTCCAAAACTGAAGATAAGAAGAGCCCCAACTGAAATGCCCTAAGAGAGAATTATTTTTTGTGCTGTCCTCTGCTCACTCAGAGGTTTAGGTAGCAACTGAAAAGAGTTTCAATAAATCCATCAAATATTTATTGTCTGCTACACTTATTACTAGTATTTTTAGAACATAAAGTCTTACCAGGCAGGTTACAGGAGAATCAGAATATGTTTAAATAGCCACAATAAACAATGTTAGCACATAAAACATCTCACAAAAATAATAAAACCAAAACCAAAAAGAACAGCCAAGTTTCCTGTCTCTCTGGTAACAATGAAGTCACACTGGATGATTTCGAGTCAATTGGCATTGAGCCCTATCTGCTCACTTTTGCGACATATTTTTGCTAGTCATTTAACAATCTTATATTCAGGTCCCTAAAAAGATGTCCTAGAATATCTTCTCTTGTTATCTCAGGTTGTTTTAGTTCTGTTTTCCATTCTGAGAAAATCAATACAGGTTCAGATATCTATCCTATACCTTCTGTAGCAATGACAGATGCAAAAGAATTTATTCAGTTTCTCAGCAATCTCCAGAACCTTCTTGAGCTTCCATTTCATTATTTTGTTGCCTAACAGCCCAATCACTTTTCTGGCTGCTTTTCTGCTTCAAATATATTTAACGTTTTTATTGCTTCCCATAATGTTTTCTTCTGGGCTTCTATAATTCCTTATTGCATACATATATTCTGCAAGTTTATTCTCCTCATTAGGACAGCTTTTGCATTTCCTGAAGGAAATTTATACAGGACACTAATAGATAGCCATTCTGGACTTTTTCTGGACTTCTTACATTGTGGAATTCATTTCTTTATTTAAATTATTTACAGAGCTGCCCACCCTACAGCAATGACTCTGGGTGATGTACACAATCACCACAACAATATATAACCCATGACAACCTGGTTAAAACAACCAACAAAACAAAAAGCTTCATTGCCACCAGAGCTTGCCTAATTTCCTGGCCCAAATGCTTGGGGGAACAGAGCCTTATGCAAGGCTAACAGGGTCGAGGTCATCCAGACTTCCAGAGGAATACTGTTCCACAGGACAGGCACAGACACAGAGAAGGCATGATTTCACTGTGAGCAAGGACTCCTAGTCCAGGAATGAGCACAACTGGCACACAAGACAAACCTATGTAAAGCCCCAGTCCCTGCCCTTTGAACAGGAGCCATAAATCCAGGAGGACCCCCATACTGCACAATAGCTCTAGCTGGGAAAGTGCACCCACAGACAGAGTTAAAGATGGAAGATTTACAGAGCCATGAGGCTTAAAAACCCACAGCCACTCAGTCTTGCCAGGGTTGAGCCAAAGCCTGTTCTCCCCATTCAGACCCCAGTATCCAGGAACCAGGAAAGAACGTCAGTGGCACTCTTGGTCAGCCCATGGCAGAGATGCATCATACTGATGATATCACACCCTATGACAATAGATGACCTCCCCCCAGCAGCTTAAATAGAATTAAAGGAGAATTAAATAGAAATGAGGAGAAGTAGAGGTCTGAAACACCCCACAAAGCAGGAGTGCCTTTGGCTTGACCTCTCTCTGCCACCAACACTGACTGGAACTGGCCCTGCAGAAAGAAGGAGAACCACCGTAATACAATGCCTCATACTCCTAATCCCCTGATCCAGCCCAGAAGGATATAGATCAAAGGTATCAAAGGCCACTGAGAGATCAAAGAGAGCCAGGATACTCAACCAAGGGACATTGAAAAATGCAATCAATGCTGTCTCAGTACTGTGGCCAGGCTTCAATCCTGACTGAAAGGGAGACAGACAATCTGCTTCTTCCTGGGCCCTCTTGAGCTGTAAGTCAACTGTCTTCTCAACAATGTTCGCCAAAAAGGGAAGGTTGAAGACTGGATGGAAATTGTCCAGATCTGTTGGACAATTCTGGGTAAGTCTCAATTCTTAATTGTTAAACTCTAAGCATAAACAAATTTGGTCCTCTTGATATTTCCTGTCAGTCTCTTTTTCATCAGTCCCTTCAATTTCAAGAATTTTCCCTTTTGTAGTCAAACATAACTATGGAGAATCAACAGTTTTCCACTTGATGTATCCTACTGGTTTCACAACACTTATGAATCATGGTTATCATGTAGGTAAATCTAGAGTTGCCTCCCCTCTGTTCTAAGGCTTAATTATATGGATATCTAGAAATTTTATTTCTTTGTCATGGGCTGAGCATTATTACATTTTTTCCTTTGCATGCCTGATGCCTTTCAACACCTCAAGACCATTTTCAGAATTTTGATCAGGTGGCAATAGCATATCTCTATCTGTGGCTACAGGTTGCCACAATTATTCTTAGAAGAATCCAGTCTTCCAATGTTTTTAGTACATCAGATTTTGTATCCTCTTTCAAATAAAAAGCAAGACCCCCACCCAACCCCTTGCCTAGCCTTTCTACAGTTTGTATCCAGGAATAACCATATCCAATTGTTCTACAAGGTTTCAGTTAAATCTACTATATCTATTTTTTTGTTTGCAATTGGTATTCTAATTTTCTCATTTTGGCTCCAAGATTTCTAGCATTGGCATAGAAATACTGTACCTATACCCCATGAAATCTCTGTCTAAATATTTCAATTTACCTATTTTAGAAACCTAAGAAAATGTTGGGGCTTATTGCTGGCAGTAGAGCAAAATAAATAAATAATAGCAAGAAAGAGTAAAACTCTTTAAAAAAAAACACTAAACCATGTGATGTTATAATCTTTCAGATGAATATGCTTTCAGTCTGCTACTGCTAGGCAAATGTTAAAGCATGTTTATTGAAAATACAGCAATGTATGGTGCATGTATTGGTTATATATTAATCTGTAAAATTTGCTATGCATTTCAGTCTTAAGACCAAAATTATATATTAGAATGAAAGTTTAGACTATTATTGCTCACCAGTTTCAATCTCTGCAGTGGTATCCTGCTCGTGTCTATTGGTGTTCTTTCCGTGACATTACCAAATCTGACTTCAGGGATAGCAATTGCACACATTACATGAGCCCACCTATAAAATTACAATAAAGCACACACACACAAACACAAAAGAAATACAAACATTAAAAACTTTAAAACAAAAATTCATGTAATTATTTTTGCATAGCATTTCCAAAATTTTGTGGCACATAAATTGAACGCATCAAGATCATGGCTTTAAATATCTTAAAGTGCTGAATTCATTTTTAAACATAACCTTCAGATAGACACATCAAATAAAAGTAATATATTCAATTTAGTTTATTTTTTTCTCCACATGATTATTTCCAGCAGTACTCAATTATGCAATTTTTGAAACTTAATTCATATTTAGTTCTAAAAAACTGATATTGAGGTGATATTAATGATTTTAATTAATTTAAAACAGTGGATAGTTATATTATGATTTAATCTCTATAACAATAATATATTTGGGAAAGAAAAACCAGAGAAGTACAATTAATTTCATTCAATTAAACATTTACATATTTAATTATTCATTTAATAGTCTTCTACACTATTTTCATAGATGTACTATTACCATTTGCTTTAAAATATGAAATAAAGCATAAAACGATATGTAATAAAGCAAATTATTCAAAAATAATAATTCCAGTAGTTTCATGTAGATATTAAAAAGGCTATCTTCCAGTAGTTTCTTGTAGATATTGAAAAGGATGGGGGAATGTCCAAGGGTGCCTTTTTTCCCAAGCAACACTCCAGTCAGAAATAAGTGAAACCATTGCAAAATGGTGTCAACTTTCAAGCTCTGCAGGTGAGCCAAAAGGATATCATAATCAGCAGTATTGAATAAGACTGAGATGAAGTGCAACCAGGGCACTCTCCCTCAATCTAAGTCCTGACTCAAGTCACCTACAAGAATGACCAATTGTCCGGTCTGAACCTGTGAAAGGTGTCTGGAAAATCTGATTTCATCCAGATCCCTCTGTAACCGCTGTCTCACCACTTCTCATTCAGCCAAAGTTGAGAATTGTTGTCCAAAAATACGAACCGAGGATTAACCTCTTAGTAGGCACACCACTCTCTCTTTCAAGGCTGTTGTCTCTCCCTCAAATAAACATTCAAAATTGGACACATCTAATTTTTTGCCACAATCTCAATCATCCCCTACTCTCTGATACCCCCTCCTCAGCCCCACAGGCGTCTCACTAGCCTGAACCCTCAGAATATAACCCCCTGGCAAACATTATCTCATCTTTCTTAAGCCTCTCTTCATTATCACCAGGCCTTGAGCCAGGCCTTGGATACTCCTTTCAGGTGTCTCATAGACTTTTCTACCTCAGCATCTCTTCTCACCAGCCTGCTACCTACTTTGTCCACCCGCCCAAAGGTGTCTCATTCCTGGGAGAAGGGAAGCCCTTCAGGTTGCTTGTTCTCTGGGAACCAAGCATTCAGCCACTGTTCAGAAGTTGGGACGAAGTTTGTAGCCATCCTCACATGCAACCCCTTGAGGCTCATATCTCTGTTGATTCTGGAAGCAGCTACAGCAGCTATGTCAACACCTTTCACTGTTTATTCTCCTATAATAGTGGCCTCCTATAATAGTGGCCAAGTCTTCTTCTCTTGGGGACACTTGCTTCCTAATTCAACATGGCAAAAAAAAAAGTCACCTATCTCTCCCTCCATTAATCCATTTTATGTGATGATTTTGGATTCTTCTAAACTTATAGAGCTGAGTAAGTGGATATGGTCCTCTGTAGTTTGAATTCCACTGCTAGTGGACCTTCTTTTTTTTTTAAGGTTATTAAGTAGGTAGTCTGGAATTAGCTTCAGAGGATTGTAGATAAAATAAATTATTAGGATCCTTTTCAGTCAGGATTCAGACCCAGTCATGGAACAAAAACAGTGCTGGTCCCACTGGACCCTCTGGTGGATGACCTTTTTCAGGACCTAGATGGGGACAGTGCATCCTTCTTGGTCACGCTAAGCAACCTCATGGCATTTGATACCATCAAGCATGGTATCCTTCTGGCCCACCTGCAAAGATTGGAAGAGGGAAGCGCTGTTTTACAGTGGTTCCAGTCTTACCTAAGCATGAGGTACCAGTCAGTGATGCTAAGGGAGAAGAGTTCAAGTCCTTGCTTATTGTAGTGTGGGGTTCCTCAGAACTTTGTGCTCTCCTTTACACTGTTCAGTATCTATAGGGAGCTACTGGAGGAGGTTGGGCATGAAATATCAGCAATATGCTGATGACATCAAGTTATACAAGGTGACACACCCTCTAGTAGTGGCTCCCACTTTCTGGAATTCTGTTATCCCAGAGGGAGACAGGTGAAAGTCTTATTTTATCATGTTTATGCCCTAGATGAATTCAATCTTTTTTAAAAAATTATTTTATAGGAATCCTATTGTATTAGTTGTTTTATTTTAATGGTATTATTACTGTTTCACTCTTCACCATTTAGTGTCCATCGGGAATAGAACGACCTAGAAATGCTATTAAAATATAAAAATAGAAATAAATAAATCCATTTAGTCAAGTCCACTCAGACACTATAACTCCAGCCTTATCCCCTCCAAACTGCAACAATTTGCTATATACCACTCTTTTGCCCAGTCTCTCAAGTGTTATTTCCAATTCTGATGCTCCAGCCAAGTCCTTCTCTGTGTCTATCTCCTTGTCCCTCTTCTCCTCATTTCAATTTATTTGCTATTCTTCGTCTCTGGTTCCGTTCTTCTTTGCCTGCTGTTCATGCTCAACTACTTCTTCCTGCATCCTCCTACAACTATCACTGTCCCAACCTCAGCCTTCACATTCTTCTTTCAAGCATCACTAGCAAAGCTTTGCATGGCATACAGACTCCTTTACTCAGTGTGAGTAGTTCAGAGCTGGTTGTCAGCAGCTTGTGTTATTCAACAGCTACTCATATTAAAATGCTCCCAAAGTACGGGAAAATAATACCATTATACCCAAAATTATAAGGTGCTCCTTGCCATTAATATGGTTAGACCTGATTATGTGCTAAGAGTAATCAAATCAGTGATGACTCTTACCAACCACATAGATTTTCTCCAGGACGATCTGCCTCCAATCTGGTCCTTCAAAACTTCCAATGGTGTACCCATCGCCACTCTAATTGAGTCCATCCACGTTGCTGCTGGTTGTCCTCTTCCTCTCTTTCCTTCCACCTTTCCCAGCATTTTAGATGTCTCCAGAGAGCTAGGTCTTGCATAATGTGTCCAAAGTATGATAATTTGAGCCTGGTCATCTGTGCCTCTAGTGAGAACACTGGCTTGATTTGTTTGATAATCTGTTTGTTTTCCTGGCTATCTATGGTATTCCCAGGAGTCTTCTCTAACAACAAAGATCAAAAGCATCAATACTCTTTCTATTCTCCTTCAAAGTTCAGTTTTCACTTCCATAAAGTGTCAATATATATTCTGCATATTGAGTGAATAAATAAGGGGGCAGTATACATCCTTGCCTCACTCTTCTGTCAACCTGGAGCCAAACTTTTTCACCATGGTCTGTCTGCACTGTGGGTTCCTGACCTGTGTATAGGCTTTTGCATAAGAACCATGAGATATTCTGGGATTCCCATTTTTCCATTCCACAGTTTGACATTATTGACACAATCAAAGGCCTTTCAATCATCAATGATTATAGTGTTATTTGGCTTTCTCAATTATCCAGCATGTATCAGCAATAATATCTCATGTTCCTCAGCCTTTTCTAAAGCCAGCTTTCACGTCTGGCATGTAGGGCTGTAATCTGCATTAGACTAGGTCCTCAGCATTATTTTCCTAGTGTGTGAAATTAAGGATACCGGACAATCGTTTGCACACAGTCTTAAACCACCTTTCTTTAGTATTAATATGTAGATTTACCTCTTCCAAACTGTTGGCCACTGTGTTTGTCTACATTCAGTGGCATAACTTGGTTTGAACCTTTACTGATTCTTCTTCTGTTGCTTGCCATATTTCTGTTGATATTTTTATTTATTTATTTATCATATTTATATAGCCACCCATCTCACATAAAATGACTCTGGGCAGTGTATAACAATTAAATATTTCAACAATTTCAATATTTCATCTATTCCTGCAGCATTCTGATTTGGTAATGACCGGAGGGCTGATCTAACTTCATCTTCTAGTACTAGAGGTTCTTGTAAATAGGGAATACCTTCCAAGTTATCTTGGATAATGACATCTATATTGTACAGAATTTCACTATACCCCTTCCACCTTTGTTTGATCTTCTTTGAATCAGTTATTATCTGTTCACTGTCATCTTTAGGATGCCAATTCAAAGTTGGAACCTAGTTCTGAGTTCAGAAAACTTTTGGAAGACTTCCCTTATTTCTTCCCTTACTGTCTGTTTCCATGATCCATGTCTTTACATATATTGTTGTAATGCTGCTTCTTATTTCTTTTAACAGCTCTCTGAAATTCTTTATTAAATTCCTTTCTGAGATCTTTGTCTTCCTTGGTTTTGGCCTCTTCTTGGCAATTTCCACTGTTCGTTCTGATATCCAGTTTGCTTTCTTCTGTTTCATAATCTTTGGTAGTCTGTTTTCACATTAATCCTTAACAACGTCTTTGATTTCATTCCACAGTTCTTCTGGTTCCCTATCCATGAGGTTCAGGACTTCAAACAATTCCCAAAGTTCTCCTTGAAAATGGTGGGTATATTGTCAAGGTAATAAGATGGAAACTGGGCTACCCCAGAATGAATGAATGAATGAATGAATGAATGAATGCTCAGATTTTGAATTACCAGTTTCACAAAATATACACAAAGTAACAGAGGTCTTAGACAAATCTTGTAGACTATTTTTCTATTGTCTGACACATTCTCTGAAAATGCGAAAATACTGAAATAACGAAATTTCTCAAGTCACTACTTTATTCAAGACAGTGAAGTGCAAAAATATAAGCAATAATGGTGAATGTCATGATTCAGTGTTAAGTGAAAATACTGAACCAGGAATAGGTAATATTTTGGAGCTGGTGAATGCATTTGGAATATTAAGCACATGCCATGGGAGCTCTTACAAAATAGCTGCCAGCAGGTTGTCCATTTCTTAAATGCCTGTCATGATGGTATGGCTAATCAAAAAGCAACCATTTACCAGAAAGAAAACTGGTAAGGTACCTCCCCACCATCCCCTCTTACTCTGCAGAATGCTCTCTATACCATAGTTCACCTTTACTTTTTTTTTTTTTTGGTGGGGAAAAGATAGCATACTTTCAAACATAACACTGGACTACAACATCAACTGTTTTAATTATTTTAAGAAAGCTAAGAAGTCTATGCAGGAACCATATATATCCTGGAAAGAGATACTACTGGAAGCTGGACTTCATAACATGCCAAGATGAGGAGGAGATATTTTTTATTTTAGTACTAATCTTTAAAAAAAATCAGTTTGTTCCAAGGATAGGTGCCAAATGTCAGGTATAAATGTGCACATTAGTGCACTGCCACTTCATTTGATCTGAGGAATGAGATGTTCCTCCAATTTTGGACTTGTTGCTTCTGGATTGGTCCTGGTGACAGGCCTCTCTGGCTTTTATTTTGTATTTTGTTTAATTTTACTTGATTTAATTAACGATATACAGTACTGTTAGTAGGTTTTAAAATATCTAATTTATCTATTCTTTAATTGTAAAGTGGTTACCTATTTGGTATTCCAATATTACCTTAGGGTTAAACTGACCTAGAATTTAACATGCCTACTTGGTATCTTGGTATATTCAAATTCAGTTGATACTCCTTTATTTCTATTCCACACTTAGCTTGTAACTTGCAACTGTACATTCAGTTTCCTAAGATACTCTGTACTAGAGCTTTGTCAAACTTTGTCTCTAACTTGACAAACATTAGACCAGTTTATTGTTCCACAGCACCAATGGATATATCCCAAACATTCACTTGATTATTTTATGTGCACAGAAAGTACATGTACTGTAAGTGCAGCAAAAAAAACCTGGGGCAGTCCTTAAGTCTTGCGATATTTGATATACCTTATGTACATTTAACTTAAGCTTTTAGTATTTGTAGCCATGAACTACGTATGTCACAGAATTCATTTGATCTGCATTTTTAAGTGAACTTGATTCATATTTCTCAAACTAACGTGCACATTTGAAAATATTCTTCAGATACTGTATTTCTTTAAATTTTGAGCAATTTTGCAAGAACAAAAGGTACATATTCAGGGAAAGTTCTGTATGAGAACAAAAGTTTCTTGTTGTTTTTTTAATTGGCATATAGTGAGGAGATTTGAGGAAAAGAACTTATGATTAAAATGTACTACACTTACATTGCTCTGAACATTCCTATCCTGGGGCAACATAAGCTGGAAACTGAATTAAGTAGATAAATAGATATACTATAAAACTGTGAGCAAATGAAGTGAATAAGAAACCATTTACTATTCTCCAAAATGCAACATACAGGGAAAACAATCAATGGGAAAACAAGAACAGGCAGATTTGTATATTAAAGCATAAGATAAGATACTGTAATTACTTATCACAATTGGCTTTAAAAATAGCAGTAGTTTACCTATAGATTCTTTTATAAGTAATGTTTGTCACCAAGATAATCTGTAAATAATTCTTCATTAACATGGTGTCCCAATTGTTATTGTTGGGAACTGAAAATGAGTAGAGATTCTTATGCCACAATGATCCTGTTTTTCAAACCAGTCTTTGGATTCTAGTGAAAACAGTGCCTGCCACAGAGAGCAAATTACACTAAGGGAACTTACAGATGCTGCTGAATTACATCTCCCAGCAATCCCACCCAGCATTTAATTCAACACCATTTGGAGGGCCAGAGATTGCCCTCTCATGCACTAGATGAACTGCTGGTAATACTTCTTTTCAAAATTCAGTATTGTTGGTAAAATAACAAAGATGAAACAGAGCGAGTTTGATTATATTGGATAAGTCACTTACTTTTTATCAGTAGTTTGCTTGAGTGCTCCACCTCTCAAATTACAGAGACAACATTCCTGGAGAAGAGAAGAGAAGAGAAGAGAAGAGAAGAGAAGAGAAGAGAAGAGAAGAGAAGAGAAGAGAAGAGAAG